GCAGGGCCAGGGGTTGGACTGATGATCCTTGGGGGTCCCTCCCAACTCAGGATATTCTGTGATTCTCTGGCTTGTCCAGCTGAGCCAGTGTCCAAGATTTCCCCCAGGGAAAGGACATCCTGTCTTTTTAACCTCCCACACTGACAACTGGGACTTGTCAAGGTGACTTGGTAGAGGAAGGGTGGAAAGAAGAAGAGAGGTGACCATTTGTTACCAGCACAAGATAAAAATAGAGACCTTGCACCCCCAGGCTGGTAAAAAAGGCTGAAAGCAAAGTCTCAGGTCCTGGGTTTCAGGTACTTTGTGTCCCCTGAGGTGGTCACAGCCCAGAGGACTTGGACTGTGCTTCCTAACAAAGGGAGTTTAGATGAGGTCTCACAGCCCAGGAGACTTCATTTTTCTTCCCAACCTCTTACTTGGAAAATTCCTGCTCCTCATGACCTCTTCCTTTAGGAGCTGTTTTAATAAACCATCCCCAGATCCTTCTCCTCGTGGTTCACCTTTTGCCACGAAGATGCCATGGGATTTTACCATCCCCAAATCCTCCTCCTCATGATTCACCTTTTGCCACAAAGATCCCATGGGATTTGACCATCCCAATATCACTATCCTCCTCAATATTCATCTTTTGCCAGGAATTTCCTGGTTTGAGGAGAATTGGATGGTATTTAATGGTCAGACAAATTAGAGCATCACCACTGCTCAGATTAACTGGGCAAGATGGTCTTGTTTAAGTGGTGCTTCCCCAGTGCAAAGAACACTGGAAAAAAATGGAGGTTTTCCTCAGCTTTGGGACTTGAACTTGATTAACAAATGCTTTTCAACAACATATTATTATTATTATTATCATTATTATTAACCTTGTATTTGCAAGGTGTCCCTGAGAGCAGCCCTGCCCTCCCCTCTGTGTTGTCACAGAGTGTGTTATCAGCGAGGTGGCTGAATTTTAGTGACAAGTGACACAACAAATATGCAGCCACTGCAGGTCTCTCGGGCCCTCTGGTCTGAAAAACACCCTGCAAACAAAAGAGAGAGAAAATAATGACCTTTTTTGCCCAGTTGGGTGATGACTTTCCTCACGGAGAGCACGGAAGGCCTCTTGTCTCTCACACCCAGAGCACTGGTATTAATAAACCTCCCTTTGATATTTCTTTTTTTTTGTTTCCCTCTCCTTGAAGTAAATATGTCAGGAGATGTCAGAATCGGGGAATTTTGGTAAGGCAGACCCGTCATCTTGAGGGAGAGAATTTGTTTTCTATTATTATTTCCCTCCCTGGGGAACAACATCTTTGCGTCACCGGCAACAGCTGCATTTAACCAACGTTTGGAAAGGGGATCGTGGGCTGGCTCCAAGCAGAGCAGATGCAACCAGGAGAAATGTGCATTTAAAGGGAATCAGGAGGGGGAAAAAAATCTGTCTGTGACTATAAATATATAGATTTGCTGCTCTCCCTAGAAATAGGGCTGGAACTATAGATAGAGGTACAGATACACCCCAGAATAAACACCCCCAGATGTTTGTTTGGGTGGGGAGTTTTCTCCTTTTAGCCACTGTGGGAGGATTGGCAGACTGAGCAGAGCAGCAAACATTGGGCCCCAGAGCAGGTTTGTGTCCTGCAGGGGGTGGACAGGATGGCTCCAGCAGGAGCAGCAAAGGAACCACCCTCTGGAATGTTAAAGCCATCAGAACCCTGAGGATTAACAACCTGAGGGAACAACTGCTCCTGAGCTGTGTCCCGAGGGAAAACCAGCTCTGCTGGAGGACTCTGGGTTGTCAGCTCTGGAGATTGGTGTCCCCTTTTAGCCTGGAGTGAGCCAGGGAAGTGTCTCCTCAAATCCCTTCCAGACAGGATCAAATGTAGAGGGACTGTCTGCAGGTGTCCAACACCAGGTTGGAGCAACCTGGGACAGTGGAAGGTGTCCCTGCCTGTGGCAGGGGGTGGAACTGGATGATCTTTGAGGTCCCTTCCAACCCAAACCATCCTGGGATTCTGTGAGCTCCTGGACAGAGTCTGAGCCAACAGTTTAGCAAAGGACAGGATGAAGTTTTGTGGAAAGGTGTCTCAGCAGCTCCTCGTGGGAAGACGAGACAGTTTTCTTCGTGCCTTTGAGCACAAAGCCACCTCTGCACCACCCCCTGTGTGTTCCCTCACATTCTGCTTTTAAAATAACCCTCCCCCAGCGCAGCAGAGATGGTGAGAAAGCTCCTTCTCCCACTGCTTTCCCAGGAGAGGTGCCTGGGCAGCCCCCACCCCAGCTGCACCCTGGATCTTCACAAGGTGCCTCTGAACTGACAGGCTGAGGGATCTGTGGCTTCCCAGCCCAGCCCCTGAGCT